GAGAGAGAGAGAGAGAGAGAGAGAGAGAGAGAGAGAGAGAGAAATGGGGGGCACGTGCTACTTCGTTTCTTCTTTGCCTTTTGCCTTCCAGGAAATGTTGCAAAATGAACGCCCGGCATTATGGCTCCCATGTCAACGCTACTCCCGACAAGTCCCCCCCACGAAGAACAACTGCCAAGAAGTCCCCCCCACGAAGAACAACTGCCAAGCAGATTGAATGGTGATTGTTTCATTCATACAATGCGAAACCTGCTTCACATCAGTGGCACTCCTATAGTTGGAGGCGACTTCCAACAACTTCCCCGGGCCAATCATCAATGACATCATCGGAGCCGACCAAACTGAGACTCACCCACACGCGCATGCACTTGCACACATAGAGTCAAAACTCGGCGAGTAAACACGGGGCATACATGCAAGATCGCTTTATCACAAACATATTCAGAGAACATAGCAAACAAAAGTCTGAATCAGAATCTTTAGCAAAAACGTCAACGGGACAACGGACAGGATTTTCTCATAAAAGTTCACAGTTCTTGCACAGCACAGAAAAAAAAGGATGCTGCAAAGGTATCGGCTTCCCAAAAAACAAAACACTCGCAGATAAAGAAACAAAAAAGGTTCGGTGGTATTCCGTCCTATTTCTTGCACGCAGATTTCTGTCTGCTCTCAGGCTCTTCTTTTTGTTTTTGTGAAAGAAGCGGCATATGATAGGGAAGTTGCTTGTGCTTTTTCTTTCTTTTGTGCTTTTTGGTTTTCTGTTTTTGCGGGCGAAACCGCAACGGGTCATCTAGTCTGGAGTGAAAATTGCACCGAGTACCGCTATCACGACTGGGCGTTCTATTTGGGTGAAGACGGTAGGCAGGAGCTTAACTATATTTGGCTAGCTGTGTTGTGTGGCAGTAGACTTTGTTGACTCTTGTTCTGTGGCACTCCTTTTGACTGATTCGTCTCATGCTTTCGATGCTCATTTTATGTTTCTCGCCTTGCAGGACGTGGAAAGAATTATTAACAAGGGACATCTGCACAGATCTGGTGAATGTCCTTCACTGGGAAGCTGCCAGTGATGGGGAAAAAAACTATACTCCTCCTATTGCCTTTGTTGCCTTGATAGGACTACACATTTATGTTGCCTTGATAGGACTACACATTTATGAAAAGGATTGGAAGACTCTAAGCAAGATGATTGTTCCATCATCATTTGTGGCTCTTCTTGAGCGGTCGGTAGTAGCTGCATGTGCGTGCTGCTCTTTGCTACATAACATGTTTGTTCCGTCCACCTTGGCCCGCATCATCGTATGCTCAGTATCTGACCACAAGAGTGACCTGTTCACAAGGTTGTTGACGTGGCAGCACGGTAGCCGCAACAAGATTCGCGATGACATTTGGATGCAACTCCTCTGTGTCCCCGACATGATTGCTCGCATCATCACGAGCCCGTGGCTGGGCACCACCGGAGATTCAATAGATAATACTTGTATTGGCTTCGAAGGGGCGATGAGTGCCACAGGCAGTAGTGCCTGGAAGATGCAGACCGAACGGGTGGAGAGGTCACGGCTCCGAGTGCGCTTGATGAAAGTCTGGTTCTTCGTGGGGTTTTCTCTACTTACCTGTAAGATGAAATCCTCTGCTGATGTTCCGTTTATTATAAAACGGACAGCAGGTGTCATTCTGAATGCAAAAAGCAGATTTCCGCATGGGATCTTGCCGCCAACTCTGGAGCGAGGTTTGGAGAAAATCAGATGTTGCCACACGGCCGCAGATCTGCGAGCAACTCTTGCATGTACCATGGATGAAATTGCGGATCCGTTCATCGTGCTTTGGCGCGATCAAAGTTTCGAATTACCCAAACAATGGATGGACTGTGTGAAGGGGGATCTCAAGTTGCAGACCGAATCAGTCGATGGAGACCCCCGTGCAAGAAGGTACTCACTAGAGTGGAGTTTGCTCCTGAAGGCTGCAGGAATTGTCCTTCCTAAGAACGTAAGGAGCGAGACCGTTGCGGAAAACAGAGGAGCTGAACAAGGTGATTTTGAGACTAGCCTGCCAGCCCAGAGCAATTCCTTTTTTCCTGGGGAGCGTCAGTCCGGTTTCTATTCCCCCGCCAAGTCAGATTTTGAATACATTGTGCTACACGTTCACGCTTCCTTCCGTCTGGCCGAAGGAACCCTGACCAGCATTGATTACTCCTACCTTCCTTCCGTCTGGCCGAAGGAACCCTCACCAGGATTGACTGTCAGCTTGCCCTATCCTACCTTCTTCCCCCGAATACAACGTACCGTCATTCTAGCTGTATTTGCGGCGTCTTTCAGTTTAGATATACTGCTATGATGACCGTACCTTGTATTCGGGGGAAGAAGGTAGTTTTCCTCTCAGCTCTCAGAACCCTCTTGGTTCCATCGAATAGGCTTTTGAGGCACGAGAAAAACTGGGAGAGATGTCTGTCAGTCTGAGGCTGAAGCCTCAATTTGCCCTTCTCGGGACTGCATTCCTTGTCGTAGTTGGTGTGGGGACCACTTTTTCCAAATCAATTTGTTGTCTGTGATTCTATCTTTCCCTGTCTCTCATGAAGATTCGTCTCCTGAGTGCGAGTCTTTCCGGTTTGCCTCTCGTTGCCATCGACACACTCCTCCATTTGCATCTGATCTCTGTTTCCACCAACCTCAGTAGAAGAATCCATATTTCTTCCTTGGACACTTCTGAACCCTCGATTGTCTGCTGAGCCGCCTGAGTGTGTCCGATTAATTAATTGGTATGTATTTTCATTGGTATTTGATGTTTGATTCATGGCTGTGCCGGCAACCGGCCGGTTGGACCGGCCCCGGCCCGGATCCAACCGGGCCGGTTGGATCCCCGGTGGTCCAACCGGAATTCCGGTTGGGTCCAAAACTGGGTCAAAAATTTTTTTTTTTAAAAAATTGAAAACATGGTTGGACTGCGCTCACCGAGATCTCCCCGAAGCCGCAAAGAAATCTTTGAACAGAGATGTTTCGTTTGGGGGGTTGGGGGGCTGGGGGGGGGGGGGGGGGGGGGATTTCAGGGGTTGAGGGTCAGGGGTTGGGGGGGTTATGGTGAGGGTGTTAGTGGTGGGGTTTCAGCACGGGCTTCAGCAGACATTGACAACAACGTACCTGGCTTTCTGCAAACGTTGACGTTCTGCCCAAGAACTTTGAAGAGGGGGGTGGGGGTGTTAGTGGCAGGGTAGGGACGGTACTTCCCACCGAAAAACTTTGAAAAGTGGGGTAGGGGTTGTAGTGTTAGGGGGTGCTTCGTCCAAGTTGCCCTCGATACTGGTAGGGTGATGGTCCTGAGTGCTGGTCACACTGGGGTGTTAGTGGCAGGGTAGGGACRGTGCTTCCCACCCAAAAACTTTGAAAAGAAGGGTGGGGGTTATAGTGTTAGGGGGTGCTTGTCACTGCTGTCTGGTGACTGCCCTCGATACTGGTAGGGCGATTGTCCTGACACTGAGGTAGGATAGTAGGGAAGGTGGCCTATCCCGTCAGGACAACCACCGGCTGCTGCTGCCAGCAATCACTGTGGGTCTAGTCCTTGGCCTCAACAACACCATCGGCTAAAAAAAAAAAAAAAAAAAAAAAAAAAGAAGAAGAAGATGCGCTACAGCCAACCAGGGGGGAACCGACCGGTAGGACCGGTCCGGTTCCGGTTGGGGGAGGACCCCCCGGTCCTACCGGGTTTTCAGCACTGGTTTGATTGATGGATTGTTTAGTATGCATCCTAGTTCTTTTTTGCGATGCTTTGTAGCAAGCAATAATCTGTCCCGGTAAAAGAAAATGTGTAGCGCCGTCTTCAGACTCTTCACCCAAACAGAACGCCCATCCGTTTTCACCGTTCTTGGGGCGACTTTCAATCCAGATGATGATGCCGTAATGACCAGGTGGTGTTCTATTCGGGTGACGATGGTAGGCATCCATATCCATCTGTTCATAAGCATACTTTGTCGAATGGACTCGGATAGAAGAGAGAAAGAAAGTCTTTCTGGGAATCCGTTAAAAGGATTGGAACGATACAGAGAGAGAAGATTAGCAAGGCTCCTGCACAAGGATGACACACATAAATCGAGAAATGGTCCCAAAAAAAAAAAAAAAAAACGAGAGAAAGAAAGAGGGCGGGTCAAGATTCTATGTCATGATTGTCCACTTCTACTTCATTGCGGGGAAGTTGTCAGGAAGTGGGGCTAGAGGACTTGTCTTCTCTTGACTCTTTCCCCCCCCCCCCCAAATAGAACCAGTGTCTACCCGTGTTTACCAGGACTCTTGCTAGGAGGGAGTGCTCGTACCACCTCTCCTAGCAAAGACACTGGTTCTATTTGGGGGGGGGGGAAGAGTCAAGAGAAGACAAGTCCTCTAGCCCCACTTCCTTCTGGCACTGAGCTTCATATTGAGGTTTCTCCCAGTTTGTGTGTATTTTTAATCACTGGGGAAGTTCTGACGCTGCACTGACGCACTCATAGTGTGGTCGCACTAGCACTATGTTGAATGTATCTGGCCGCATTTACGCCTGGACCTGGATGTATGTGGCCCCGCTATTCCGTCCAGACGTAAGTAAAAAAGTGCTAGTCTGAGAATGGCCTCAGATAGAGGACTTCTTTTTTTTTTTTTCAACTACCCTATATTAGAATATTCTTCTCACATTGTATCTCTCCCTCTACCTACCTAGCTACCTACCTTTTAGTGAGGTTTTGTTTTTTTTTCGCCTAATCTGGGTCCGTCCCCATTTTGGGGTTGATCCTCAACTCTGCTCTGAGCGGGGCGCAGTACCCCGGCCCCTACACCCCTGGCGCGGGATGGAAGGCCCGAGTAACCTTACCACCACCAGCCAGGGGGGGGGGCGCGCAGCCATCTATCTCCGCTGGTGAGCCCGAAGGGTGCCACAGGGGGCCGTTGGGGAATCGAACCCACAACCTCCTGAATGCCACTTACGTGTTCTACCAACTGAGCTAGGCCGGCTGGCCGCTAGAGGACAAAGTTTTTGCTGAGCCCGAAGGGTGCCACAGGGGGTCGTGGGGAATCGAACCCACGACCTCCTGAATGCCACTTACATGCTCTACCAACTGAGCTAGGTCGGCTGGCCACTAGAGGACAAAGTTTTTGCTGGACCTAAGGTATTTTTACTCTTTGGAGTCTTTTCGCTACGTTAGACGTCGTTAGTAAGAATTTCACCACCGGCGCTTCGCAGAATGGATATGGAGCCAGGACCTTAAGCACCTGTTTATTATTATTATTATTATAAAAATATTAAACCACTAGTACCTTTGGCGTCCGGTTTCGACAAGTTCTTGCCAGCTCCCGAACTTTCAGGAGGCCGAGCCCGACGTTGATCAATCTGATCGGCGGCCGTCGTTTCATTTCGGCCTCCTAAAAGGTCGGAGGCCCGCTATTTTTCGAACCGACAAAGGTACTAGTGGTTCAAGGGAAAAAAAAAGTAATCATTTGAATTAATTAATAATTTCACCTTTGTGGTTTGCTGTGCATGTGCTCTGAGAGCTCTCGACTTTGTGCTGCCAAGATCTCGACTCGGTACTTTTTTATACACCACAGGAGAGAGACCTTGCTTCAACCACTACAGTCTTCCCCCGAATACAACGTACGGTCATTATAGCTGAATTTAGACTGAAAGATAGACCAAATTCGGCGATAATGACCGTGCGTTGTATTCGGGGGAAGACTGTAGTACCTTTGCCTTCCGGTTTCGACAAGTTCTTGCCTAGTCCTGAACTTTTAGGAGGCCGGGCCCGACACCAGCTGCCTTGATAAATCTGATCGTGCGGCTGTTGTCTCGTTTCGGCCTCCTGAAAGGTCGGAGGCCCACGATTTTCCGAACCGACAAAGCTACTAGTGGTTTAAACTTTAAAGAGAAGTTGGTACACATGCACATGATGTTCCTCAAAGCGAGCTGCTACTTCGACCTTCCAAATCTTTCAAAATTCAAAACCATTAGCCTTTCGTTGACCTGGTTTTCAAACGTCAATGTGGTGTCTTTTCAACTTGGTTGCAGCCAATGAGGCCAATCGAAGAATAAGTGGCGCAGCTTCGTCTGGTGAGGCCCTCGATCATATTCAGGAGGGCAAGGAATCCATGGCGGGCGTTCCGGTCGCTGCCCTTGATGAGTGTGTGGATACGACAGCTTCAGGACAAGACAATGACAATCAGGCTGGCGATGATGAGGATTTGGGTTCTGAAAGTGAGGGCGATGAGGCAGATCATGACCTCAAGACACCTGTCCTGAACGATTTGAAGCCACGAAAGGACGTACTTCCACAGTGGATGAAAGAGCGGCTCCAATTCCTTTGGCAACAAGCGCGAAAACGTCTCGAGGAGGATATCACCAAAAGAGAGGCAAGGAGGCTCTTCAGAAGAAAGAAGATCAGTCAGGCGTACTCTAATCTTTTCCTGGAGAAGGTGTGGCCGTTAAAGGTAGAATATCCGTGTAATCTCTGACTGATGATTGCTTTCCAGCAGAGCTTTCACATCAGATCCCAGATGCTGTTCACATGTACCAGGTTGTTTTCTGTTTTTACCCCCCCTTAAACCGCCAGTACTGCCTGATAAACAGGCATGTTGGCCGCCAGCGATTGCTACAGTGGCGCGACAGTTTCTTTCGAATGAATATAGCCCCAAGATTGGCAGGAGGCCCATTCATTTCAGCGCTTCCGGGTGTCGTTAACGACCGAATTATCAGGAAGTACTGGTGGTCTAAACCGCCCACTACCTTACCCGCAGTTGGGAAAGGTGGGAATATATAGCCTACAACGCTTTCTTCATGGGCCGGGGGTGAAAGCGGGCTGCCACTTATTATACACCCATCAACGGCCTACTCTTCGTTTCCTGCCTCCGAGACTTGCGGGTCCCGGCCCGCGGCCAACAGCTTGGAAAGGTAGTCTGGTCCGTTAAACAAAAAAAAAAAAATGAAAAAGTTTAAAAATGAATTTAAATAATAAAAAACAAATTTTAGCATGAGTGCTGGAAACCAGGTCCAGTGTCCCGTTACAATGACGACGCACACAACGCTGCACCACTTCCTTCCATTATGGTTGAAGGACCCTACGATAGCGGCATCGATAACATCTCACTTCCCTGCATTCCTCTCTTTCTCCTTGTTAGCTATTATGGGAAAAAAAGAAAAAAAGTTAAAAAGCAAAGAAAAGGCTATGTGCATTGATGGCTGTCGGACTTGCAAGCAATTGCTGCCGGAATGCAACTTGCTGCGTTTTTTATGACACCATTTTTTATTCATAATTGGTAAGCACCCCGGTGTGACGCCGCCAAGATGGTGATGATGGGTGGTGGTCCCGGATGGTGAACATTAGGGTGCGACAGGAGGAGGGGGAGGGGGGGGGGGGGGGGGGGGGGGG